AAAAAAAAAAAAAAAAAAAAATATATATATATATATATATATATAATTTCAACGTAATTTTTACTACAATATTTTTTCTACACAGAGAGAATGTTTGGTCGAAATTAATATGACAATAAAAGAATCAAACTCGTCTTGGTTGAAGGAAATAGAATTTCTGGTTGTTAGTACCAGAAGATCGGATTTTAAGAATCAGAAAGTCTGTTACTTCGGCCAGAAAGTGTTTGGTTCGTTGATTGTCACGTTAATTTAACCATCTTTTTCTCCGTGCATAGCAATGCAATCAGTAGAATCTTGCTGAAAGGATCACTTAATAATAGCGAGTGTTCCCATTACTGACATAATTTGCAAACACAGACAGTGTTATCGCACGCAAGGCGCATGGAAGTTAATTCCATTGCCGCAAGCGCAGAGAGTTGGATTTGATACGACGAATTTGTGTACTACAGATTTTACAGTGAGACAGAAAACGGAGCAGTAAAGTAGGAGCGTTTCCGTTGAAAATCAGTGAATACTCATCGATTATCGGCGGAACATATACTCCTGTTACGGATTCAATCAGAAACATTTGTACTGATACACTTCGAGAGAGTATAATACATCGTAAGATGATATTTGCAAGAAGCGAAAATACGATTTCGGAAGGTAAAACGTTCTGCATCGCATTGCGACGCTGTGACGTCGACGCCAACTCTACAATGGTTTACTTGTATTTTTCTTGCATTATCGGACTCTTTTTTTTCTCCTTTTTTCCGTTCTGATATCGTTTTCCAGGAAACATAAACGAACACCTGTCTCTCTCTCTCTCTCTTTCTCTCCCCTTCTCTGTCCCTCTAACAACCAATCGCAAGCTGAATCGCCACTTTTATCGCGTGTCCTTTCACATCTCATTCGTGTACTTCATTGCGCCGCGGCCACAAGTGCGTGTCGCACGCAATCGATACGAAACGGAAAAACGATACAATAGGCCTTACGAACTACCGGCGCTCAATTTTGTACAATAATTTAATATCTCGATTAATTTACTCGATCCTATCAGCTCCCTTTCTCTCTCTCTTTCTCGCTCACTGCGTTTCGCTTGATTCGCTCTTCCTCTCCGTTTCCCTGGCCTTTCTCGAAACGCGTCGACTGACTAGCGATACGGTAATGTTACAATGGTGATTTTTAGTACGACGGTCATATCGTAAAATATACATTATTTTTTTTCGCCGCCTCGCTTCTATCGCGACGGCTCTTTGAATAACTCTTACACTCTCTTACTCTCTCTTTTTCCCGCCTTCTCAACTACTTATACGTGATACCTCCTCCTCATCCCCGATTTACATTTACAATGTATTTTAATTACAAGTTTACGCTACTTAAGATTTATCCCAATGGCTCGCCTCGGAATCGTCGAGTTCAAACGGGATCGCGAATCACGGGAGAAGCAATCGGACCGATTGCACGTAGTACGATAGAGATACAATTGGTTCGAAACTTAGGCGCTGTACGTACATCGTCCACGGCGATAACACGCTTTCAATGACGGGTTCGGCGCAGCAATGAAATACAAAACGCATCGAGTCCGATGACTCGCGTAAAAAGTGACTAACGACGTCGCTGATGTATCGTTACCTCGTCACTCCAACGCGAGAAAATGGTCTGACAATATATAATACTTTCGACAACTTTTTCTCTAAATTCTTCTCGTCACGTTGTGTGACAGCTCTGCGTGATGTTCGTGTCGCGAAATGTTCGTGTCGCGATATAGCGCGCGCGCGCGCGCGTGCTTGTGATATTTAAATTACCTTCTTTACATCTTTCTTTTTCTTCCGTTAACATTTTTTTTAACACGTTCGCTACCAACCATATGCGTGTGATGCAATGATCTCCCACGAGTGACCGGCGTCACGTATGCGTGACAGCAACAATTTTTTTTTCTGCACACTGAGAATATCGTAGTTTTTTTTCACGTGAGGTAAAGATATCAATATCCGGGCATGTATTTAATCCTGGACATTCTTATCGTTTTGATCTTTCTCGATGCAAATTGTTCAACTTCCAGCATAAAATACATATATAGATATATTGAATATACAGGGTGTAAATGGATACCCATTACAAACTTTCAGGGCACGTAGCGGACTCATAGTTGATCAATTTTTTGTTAGGAACTCATGTCTGGAAACCTCGCATTTTCGTGCTATATATCTTGAATCTCGACAGGAACTTCTTCTTGCGGGACACTTGAAGAGTTTAGTGTATGAGACCCCGTAACAAAACTGAAGAAGAACTGCAAGGATTGCAGCTGCAGCGCAAAACATGCAACACAACCCCGGGTATTTTTTGACCGGTGTACCAGAACATGATTCGCAGGTGTAATGCTTCCAACGAAGTTGGTGGTCGGCACTTGGAGCAGTTCTTGCAGCTTGAAAACCTAAACACCAAAACAACATCTCGGTGCACAGCACGGCTGCCCCTGCAGGCAGACAACCCAGTGGGACCAAAAATGTGCAAAGAATTGTTTAACGCGCGGCATACGAACGAAATTTTCTCTCGTAGCACGGAAATGCGACGTTTCCGAGCATAGGTTTCTAGTAAAAAATTGATTAGATACAACTTTCCCGCACGTTCCCTGAAAGTTTGTAATGAGTATTCATTTGCATTCTGCATACGTATATTTTATGTTGGAAGTTAAATATCCGTATTTAAGGACCAAAAAAATGAAATGTCCAGAATTAAATACGCGTCCGAGAACTGGTAATTTTAAATTCTTTTCAATTTCACCCTGTTTCCAGTAGTGCAGGAGTAAACTGTCAAGAAAGCTTATCTTGTTAAGGAACGTAGTGAAATTTCGCTAAGAATATGACGAGTTTTTTAGTAGCTCTCAATTTCTAAAATATAAATACACAGAGGAGATATCGTAGTAAATATTAATTTATAACTGTATCCCTTTTTACAATGTTTAAAATATAAATAACACATGTAAAAAAATAAGGGGATAATAAATCACTGCAAAATATCTGTTCATTTCTCAGCTATACAGAATCCCATAGTAATTCTTACTATAAAATTCTCTCCATGCATATCCACATTATCAAACTAAGTCTGTTTTACACATTTACGTAAAAAAAGGAAAAAAGAAAAAAATTATGAAATGGCCGTGGGCAGGATTCGCAAAGTAAACTCTGGTAACCAACGTGTTAAGATAATGGGAAACGAGAAGTGCTCGTTAAAACGACGATGCGGAACGTCGTTTCCTGCTTACGTATACTTGAGCATCGTCGTGTCTTAATTCGCAAAATGACGCGTCATCATAAATGAGAACGAGGATCTCGCGCGCGCGTGGCGAAATCGTCACGAGCAGTGCAATTATTTGGTTTTGCGTTTACGACAAAATAGAGTTTAACTGTTCGATTCGTCTGTTTCTCTCCTCTCTTATCGCGCACCTTTGCTCGAGATCGTGAGAGGAGAAGCTCAGCTTCTCGCGCGCGTTCCGCCGCCGCGAGGAAGCTTCTCGAATCGCGCTCGTTCTCGATTTCAGAGGTAAAGTTCGACGAGGATAAAGCCGTCGAGCGAAAATTCGCCAAGTTTTCCCGGATATTTCGGTTAGATTTTCGAACTTGGAAAATTAAGTATGCCTCTGCGCCGGTATCTCGACGTTAGTGCGCCCGAAATGCTCGGCTCTCTCGCGACGCGACGCAGCGCATCGATTTGCGAGTGCTCGCGTCACGGAACACGCGCTGCATCGACCCTCGAATGCGCACAGTTCAGCACATACGCGCGGCATTTCCCATGCATTTTAGTGCAATGATACTCCCGCGCGTCAACGTAAATCGTATTCCTCAGAAAATTTAAATGCCATTTACACGGCGCGATATATATATCGTGTCGTTTATTTTTCTTGTCCACTTGGCTAAATTGGGTACGAGCGCGGCGTTCACAACTCGAACACCCGCAAATGTGAAAAAGTCGTCGTCGTTACATTCTCTCGGCATCGAGACACGCCTGTAAAAATATTCGAAACTGCTTGCTTGATAAGAACACGGTATAAAATTATGAATCGTGTCGCGACGTTACGTCTAGCGACAATGCGAAGAACGGTAAAAAATCTTGGCTCTTCTTCGTGGCAGTCAAGAGTTGAGCGGAAATAATGTCGTGAATCTCTCTCCTGGGATATCCTCGGGTGACGTTCGCGCTCACACCTCGCTCACCGCAAAAAAAAAAAAAAACAAGACAGATTGATCGTGCTTTGATATTTTGCGCCAAACTTACTATCCTTAAGAATCGCTCGTATCAATGGATATTTCTTGTGAATATCCGGGTTATTATCGACATAATACGTCTGAGCAATGTGAGTCGCTCGCCTTCTTAGAGCGCGTCGCAGCGTGGAATGTTTGGAAAACCAACGACTTGAGAAAACGCCATCGACATGTAACGATCGGTTATCGGACAGTTTCTCGCACGAGAGCTTTGATCGGGTTATTTGAAGATGAGATTTAAGGCGAACTGGGAAAATTGCACTTATATGAGTGTTGGGTAATTTAGGGATATTTCGACATACACGGAGAAAATAATGTAGTAAAAATTACAACCCCTCTCCCCAACTTTTTGTGATGAGATCACACAAAATTATAACCAAAATTAAATATACACGTCTGACTTTTTACTACAAAATTGTTGTAATTACTTGAGTATTTTTTATATCGTATGATATCGGTAGATCGTCTTTACCATTTTTATAGTAATTTATATTATACATATAAATTAATCAGTGTAGTTTAGCTTTATAAAAAACTATAAAAGGAAATATAATTTTAACGTGACTTTTACTACAATATTTTCTCCGTATACAAAAATAATAGTTTCGGGTTAAACTATTGATATTTTAACGTTTCATTAATCAAAATCGGCATTTTGATTTTTTTTCTTAACTCTCGATATTTCACGCCAAGAAAAAATACTTGAAAATTTATTTGTGTGATATAAGACTTGTTTCTGTGAAATAAAGTTTATTTCCTTGAGTAAACTTCATATCCTATAAATAAATATTAAAATATTTTTTCTTAGTGTAGTTTAGACTCTCTTTTTCGAGCAATTGTACTTGCAAGAATTAATATCTTGCAATTTTTATTCTTTCTCAGTGTCCCAAAGAACAAAAAGAGAAAAGATTTTCCTTTCTTAAAATCAGAATAAAACTTGTATCAAGTAACGTACATATAGCATGTTATGAGGATTAGTTATATAGGACAGTGAAAATCAGAGAACATAGGCATTCATAAAAAGAAAAGTTTAATTAATTGCTGCCTTGTCATTAAATCGAGGGAGATCTCGACATGCGTTCGTAGAGATTCAGAAATTGCAAAAATGACTCTAGTTAAGTTTGTAATATAAGATACATACGCAGAGATGAACATCTATCTTTCGCTTTTCACAGCGACATTTTTTTATGTCTTAATGTAAGTTTTTTTTTGCAACATTTTCTTATCAAACTCGTTTCTTATAGCCACTGAGGATATTATGATATGTTCCAATTCTATCGCGCGGATAATTTATTCACGTGCCTTTCACTGAGATAAAATCACTAGAAACGAAGCTCATATAATATGAATTTTGTTCGCAAACTGATCGCCGGATGTATTGGCTTTCGATACACACAGTTGTCGTTTCAGGTGTCTGCATATGTAGCACGAAGCCGCTGAGTCATAAAAATGCCGAGGTCTCCCACGTGTCTCCGCAAAATATCCCTGAACTACCCGCATTTTCAATTCTCGTTTGTGCTCTTCCTCGAGATAATAATTCTCCGCTCTCGGCGCGGAAGAGAGAGAAAAGTAAACGCGATCCAGTTTATTTCCGAGCGTACGCGCAACGTGTGTGTGTGTGTGATTCTTCGATTAAAAAAATCAGAGAACGAATCGAAACATCTCGCGTCGCGCGTACGCTCTGTTGATTTTAATCAACGAGTCCCGTCTACAATTGTTAATTTTTCTCTCGTGGTCGCGCGAACGACGTTCAGGCGCGTAGATTGTACTGATGTGTCGGAAACTTAAGTTGCAAGAGAAATCACGATCACAAACACATATTCTCTCCTTTCTCCTATCAAGGATCACCTGAAGTCGCCCGCGGATCTCAATCCTCGGCGTAGCCAAGTCGTTTTTCTTTTCTATTTTATTCTCTCGGTACAAGGATATATATATATATATATATATATATATATATATATATATATATATATATCGCATCTCTCTTTGCTCGCGACTCGGTCTATTAAGTAAATTGTGATAAGTAACGATATACACATTTAATCCTACCTCGGAGACGAACGTATTCGAAATGCTGTAAATCTCGCTCCGCTCGACAGACACGTCGCGTCGCGTATCAAATAATAAAGTCTCCGATGCCAAATGGCGTCAACGGGGTGGAAAGGGTTTTACGAGCGAAGATGGGTGTCCTTGGGCGCACGCGAGCGCGCTCGCGAGAGAGAAGAAGGGAAAATTCTCTGCGCGTTATATATCTAAAAATAAGAGAGCCCCGCGATATATATCTTCTCTCGGCAGCACCTCGGCGACGGCGACGGCGGCGGCGGTGCGCTCCATTATCGATAGTAACTTTCACTCCCGGCGTGTCCGTTTCCTCGCCATTCGATGCATCCGTAATTCCGCCCGATAAATCATGCGCTCCTAGCGGTGTGCTCGCTATCGCTGCATCGCGAGACGGAGCGTTATCTGGCGGAATTTACTCCTTCGGCTTTCCAAGAGTGCGCGCGCGAAGAGAGGCGACACTTTGGAAATTAAGTTCGCCATGATTCTTTGCCTTTCGAAATTAAGCGTCTTCGTGACTCGGCGTAACCGACGCCGATAAAGCGACGCCAACGGAAAGTCGGCCAAGAACGAAAGAGGGCAAGAATCTGCCGGAAGTAATCGCGATATTTCTGACAGAGAGAGAGAGAGAGAGAGAGAGAGAGAGAGAGAGAGAGAGGCAGAGAGAAGAGAGAGAGATAGAGAGAGCACTGCCAGAGTGCAAATCAACACATCCGTGCAAATACTAAGCGTACTCAATTTCCGCCCGATTTCCGCCCCGCGTCGTCGCCTAATCTCGCGCCGTTGCAGATTCTACCGAAGCTGAAATTCCGCTACTCTCTCTCCACGCCCAACAGCGGGTGAGCGAGGTGAGCGCTGCACCGCGCCGCCGCCGCGCCGTCAGAGTCGATTCAAGGTGCAGTCACCTTTCTCAGGGGCCGGGTGACCGTGGAATTCCACTGGGTACACTCGGGCGGAAAAATAATCTCGTTCCGTAAAGTACATCTTCGCCGTGGCTCTCTCTCTCTCTTTCTCTCTCTCTCTCTCTCTCTCTCTCTCTCTCTCTCTCGCCTTCTCTCTCGCTTCTTCGCCCTTTTCTCTTCTCGCTCCTCTCGCCGTCTCGTCTCCACCGTCGTGGCCATTACGTCGGTCGAGGAACTAACTTAAACTCGGCCGCGCCCCGTGCATTTTAATGCGACCGCGATTTATCAGGCAGCGCGGCATTTTCGACGCGCGGGAATTGCCTCGCGCGTGACATCGAGAGTAAAAGTGACCACCCTGCGAAAGAGTCACTCACATGGCGCGCGTGTGTATGCATGTGCACCCGCACCCGCGTTCCAACGGCGATTGAAACGCTGTCCATAAAGGACAATTCGCACCTTGGCAGAGAGGCAGAAGGCGATCAGAACTCGCGCGCTGGTGGAAAAGCAGAAACTGTCGACTACCGTCTGACCACCAGCGTGCGAGTTCCGATCTGTCTTTCTGCTTTTCTGCCAGGATGTGAATTCTCCCTAACACAGCGCGAATCGCGACTGAAATTTGGTGTGTCATGCCGCAAGACAGTTCGGCAGTCGCAGGTTCAAATGTCGACACGTTGGTAAAAGATGGATCGACCGCGCTTTCTTTCTTTCTCTTTTTCTCTCTCTCTCTCTCTATGTATCTATCTATCTATATCTCTTCCTTTCTCTCTCTTTCGATTCCATCGTGCACACGAAGGTGTTTCGCGGCTGTCGACGTTCTACGTGAGAGCTGCTCCTCGAAATAAAATTTGATATCGGGAAAACTGCGGGAGGAATTGAACGTTAAGTTGATAGCGGGGTACGGAGGTAAAAGCTAATACGAGCCGAACTCTCATATCGCGTCCATATCTAAAACAAGACGAAATTTCTCGAATAACGTGACTGGAATATGAAAAAATTTGCAAGTCACCCGCCTATTAAATACACCCGTTGATGTTTACCGTTGTCACTCGCGAGAATTCTCCGGCATTCACTCGTCCGGAAGGACACCCATCTTCGCTCGAGAAAAATGGACGACGACATTCGCGTTCGGAAACCCGCGCGGTTCCCTACAACCGCGGAAAAACCTTCTCAAGATTATAACCCCCTAACAATAATTTTACACACCGAGTAGAAAAAAGGAAAGAAAAACGGTCGCGTCCTTATATCCTAACCGATATTTTGATAATTTCTTCACCCCGCGATCTCTCGGCGATCGTATCGCACGCGGGCTACCCGCGTACCTTCCGCTCTCTTTTTCATCCTCCTCTTCCCTTCTGTCATCTCCTTGCGCTCTCTTCCGGTACGCGGATACCCGGATACTCGACGACGATCCAAAGTGTGTGTGTACCCTTAAAATTACGATAGTCGAGGACGCGTGACACTAGCTGAACTATACCGTCTCCGTCGTGCCTCTGTACATTGGTGTTTTTATTTAGAAAATAATTCGACCGTTTAGAATATATAATTTATGTATATATATATATATACTTTTTTTTATTTATATATATATATTTATCTGTATATGTATGTATATATTTATATAGCTGCAGTCCTACGTTGCTTAGTGCGGTGTCTTCCTCTCGCTTTATGATACACGTTCGCACGGCGCGACACGAGCTCTCCCTCTCCTTTTCTCTCGCCGGCGCGGCCACCTTCTCGAATAAAACACAATCTAGGGATTCTAACGACTCGTCTCTCCTCGTTCCGTCCTCTTCCGTTCCCGCCGATTGGAGCACCGCGACTCATTGAGTTCTTTCCTTTCCTCCTCTCCCGCTCTCGGGGATGATCTCGAAAAGTAATTCGGCGTAGACCCGATGCGCTATCGAACTTCGGTTCTCGATCGAGCTCGGCACGATCATCAAATGGTCACAGCGCGTGCACAGCGTTTCTACGCGTACCTATGTATACATATCACATGGAACAATCACAGGCTCCATGTGGCCGATGGCCCGTCGTTTCCGGCGTTCGCGGGCCGAACTTGGCCTCTTCCCACGGCTGGCTGCACGCGGCCCCCGCGAGAGATTTCCGTTCGGCGTTATTCGTGCTCGACAACGCTGATATCTCGCGGTAATCAGCGCGCTAAGGTGGAGGAAAATCCCGACGAGAGTCCTCCCGTCCGATCTTCTTTCCCTCGACGATACTCCGGGAGAGACACTCCCCGCGGTAACGCGAAAAACGTGGCCCAGTTTCACCCCTGTCTCTCCTTCTCGCGGAGTCGCGGCGGCGAGAGAATAAGACTTACTAAGTACCGTTTGAGGACTGTTGAAGAGTGCGCGTAATCATGACGGAGAACTTATAGCTGTCTTTTGTGCTCTCCCCCCTCGGCCCTCGATGTTATCTCGTTATATGTCAAATTAAATGTGAGGGTCGAAGGGAGATCGAGCAGCGGCGGGAACACAGAGCCGGGAAAGAATGAAGGAACTCGAAGGCAGCATATCCCAGGTGTGGGGGTGTAATCCGCGCGGCCGGAGTAAAGAGACTCGTTCGCGTCCCGGCTACTTCATTCGGGGTGTATCCTCGCGGGTAGTCAGCCCCTACGGGAACTCCGGCTGAATTCGCGACGTTGTCGCGTCGATGACGACGCTCGGTCCAGGACAATGCCGGTGTCTGTCTCGATAGTGATCCCGTGCGGAATGGATTTTCCAGACTGCGCTATTACAGCGAGGTAGGTAATAACGGCGATCACACCGCGTGCTCGCTACTCGGGTTTGGTCTCGCTTCTTGATATTCTTCGTCGACGTTCCGCTCTGGTCTTCCTTCCTTCCCGTCCGACTCGAATTGCTGATTCCTCTCTTCTCTTTCCTCGTGTTTCGCAACGACAGGAACTTTGGTCTTCCCTACGCTCTCGCAACCCTATCAGCTGCCTTTGTCTTCCGCTCTGCCGTCGAATTTCCTTGCTCACGGATCTCGTCCCGCGCTAAGTGAAACAGCGCGGAGGAGTCCGCGCGCGGTCGTCTCCATGCAGATCCCGTCTTCCGTCTTTTGTCCCAACGCGACGCATCCGGTTCGTCGGCGCTCGTCGTCGTCGTCGT